AATTTTGAATTCTAAAAAAAGATATAAATCTTTTCTATAAAGAAGATAATTTCGGTTTTTTAAATAGAAATAGTTGAAGCAGCTTTACACAATTTTTTTCAATTTATTTGAAATTAGAGAAAAAAAATCCGAGTTTTCCCTAATAAAAAAAGGGTAAAAAAAATATTTCCCAACTGGTTTCTCTTGTTCCGCATGAGAAGATCAATAACAAACTTGGAAAATCGAAGAATGAACGCTAAAGTGAAGATGGTGAGAATCGTCTACTCGAAATTCTTATAGTTCTCGGTGAGAATATATCCCTAACGATTCAGTGGTCTCTGTTTTTCTCTTATTACTCGAGCGAACCTTGGATGGAATGCTGGATCAGACTGTGAGAGCGTAATGACTGGAAAAACATTCCAAGTCTTCTCGCTCTCATTCTCCAACCACCCGCTATCCCACTTCATTTACCTTTACCATAGCAAGAAGTGATGCCGATTTGCGAATGTCGGAGACCGGCAGCTGGTGAATGAAAATAAAAAAAAAAAAAAGAACAGTAGAAAAAAAAGTGAGAAAAATGCGGTAAAGCGATTAAAAAAAGATTTCCTTTTTTTTCCAAGTCGAACCAAGTTTCAATTTTATGGTCGCTATTTTCCCAAAGTTAGAAAGCACTTCTCTGGAGACAAATAAGCGCGTTTGTTGTCATAGGCGAAGTGCCGCGCTCGTTGCTATTCTATACTATACTCTCTATTCCAAAGGGGATACACAAGTCTCATTTCCTCCAACGTCACCTGCAGGGGAAAATTAATTTTGACTTGCGACTGCAAGCGACAATGTGAAAATCGACTGAATTTTAGATTTCTCATAATTTATATATATACATACAGTCGAAGAATACTAAATCCCATTAAAAATATGCCACTGGCAAAAGAGGTTGTAAAGTAATTGAAAAATTAAAAATATATAGATTCTCCAAAAGAGGGCTACCATCTAATTTAGACAAAATTAAATGATATCTTCAAAATTTTTGACCTAAATTTTGATGCTACGCAATTTTGTAAATAAACTACATCTAATTCAAATTGATTGCAATGAAGCGGAGGAACATTAGAGCAACTGGTGCTGGTTCTCTATCATTCGGTTGGTAATTAATCGAAGAGATCAAGCCACAAAATGGTGGAAGGAAATTTATCGGCAAGTCGCCAAACGCGGGGACGTGTATACGGCTCAGAAGGCACACACACACCTACAGATAGCTAGTTAAACGGAAAACGAGGCAGCAAGATAAGAGGGTTTCCAAGCAGAACCTTGCACTAAATCAAACCGCCAAAGAATGGTTTTGGTCCGACGATAACCTTTGGCTTAGTATATAGTGATGGTGGGTTGTGGGTCATCGTAACGCAAGACGCGACGCCCAAGTGTCTGCGAATTTACCCAACATTGTTCTTTACTTTCATGCCGTTCACGTATAACCAATACCATTCTCACCAAAGGGTATATATTCAATGTATCGTACTCGCTGGATATATCAGATAAAACTCCCCCCTTTGGCCTCGAGTAACCTAACCGGACTTAGGTAAATGTCTGTATGGGGGCCAATTCTAGCGGAAAATGTTCATTTCGAAAGTGCACTCCTGGTGGACATCTCTCTTCTCTTCTACGTATGTGTGAGGCTGAAACCACTGGCTAAAGGAGGTATGAGAAGAACTCTCCAGGGATGCCCGAAGCCAACAGGTAATTGAGCCAGTTTCACTGACGTCTGACGTGGTCTTAAAATAGTGACAGAAATAAGAGATTCAAATCCTAAACTAAACTCTCAATTAGAAAAAAAGGTTATTCGGTTGAATACTGAGCTATAAATAATTGGTTATTTTATAAAAAAAATGTTATTCGGTTAAATACTGTGCTAAAAATATTTGGTTATTTTATATTCAGTTATAAAAAGCTTATAAGGTTGAATACTGTGCTATAAATAATTGGTTATTTTATAAAAAAATGTTATTCGGCTGAATACTGTGCTACAAATAAAAATTGGTTATTTTATATTCAGTTAAAAAAAGGTTATTCGGTTGAATACTGTGCTCTAAAAAAATTAGTTATTTTTTATTCAGATAAAAAAAAGCTTATTAGAATGAACACTGTGCTATAAATATTTCGTTATTTTATATTCAGTTAATAAAAGGTTATTCGGTTGAATAATGTGCTATAAATATTTCGTTATTTTATATTCAGTTAATAAAAGGTTATTCGGTTGAATACTGTGCTATAAATAATAATTGGTTAATTTATATTCAGTTAAAAAAAGGTTATTCGGTTGAATACTGTGCTCTAAAAAAATTAGTTATTTTTTATTCAGATAAAAAAAGGTTATTAGGTTGAATACTGTGCTAAAAATATTTGGTTATTTTATATTCAGTTAAAAAAAAAATGTTATTCGGTTGAATACTGTGCTATAAATAATTGGTTACTTTATACTCAGTTAAAAAATTTATTCCTAAATTATTAATTGATGTTAAATTTCTCAAATATTTAGATGTAGTTTCCTTTGAATTTGAACTATTGCAATGAAGAGGTTACTATTGAGCCAAAGGGATGTGAATAAACACTCTTCTCTCAAGAACTATGTCGAACTGAATTTGCTCAACTACACAGCAACATCCGTCTCTGGTCCTTGCGACAAGAAGTTTGTTTACTTGTAACTATTTAACTTCCTCAATTACTCCTCAATCATAGAGTTCATTGGAACCAAAGCCTTTTGCATCTAATAATAAAATTTTAATTCAAAAAAAAAAAAATGAAATTTAATTAACAAAAGGACAATGTTATTTATATTATCGTGTCTCGTTTACACATAAATCATTAATCTTTTATTAAAATTTGATTAATTCATAATGCAGTAAGAATTAAATTTCAATCGAATATCAAATGTCATTAGCTCTTGTATATTGAGAAATGAATCAATTATTCCAAATTAGATTCCCTATGTGAATCGTGAAACTAATTCATTATACTCGAAACGTTTGTGTATTCAATTGCCCGAGTGTGCGATGCAAAATGATATTCATTACGCGAGCCTGTTGTATATCACGTCTGATTATTAATGTCAGCCTGGAAAGTAAATGAGCTTTGTTTTAATCATTGTTGACGATAACGATACGATAAACCACAATTTAATTTTTATCGTTAATGAATAAAGTAAACCAAAGCAAAAAAAAATGAAAAGAAATTAAAATATACATTGATGGAATAAATTTGGTTCATATATTTTCTTTTTTTACATATATAGTTAACTTTAAAAGAGAGAATTTTTCAACAAAAGTTTTACTCTACAGGGACACGACATGATGTTCATGAATTTAAAAATTAAGATTAAACGAGCGCAAAATGGAAGCTGTGAAACTTATATAAGCGTAATGGAGTTGTTATCCCGTTTTCTTGAGTTTGTAACACGTATGGTAATCATGGCGTTTATCATACGATCCAATTATGGCTCGACTCGTCCATTAGGGTGCTTTTAGTGCCTGCAGTGTCGGTCTTCGAAAAGTTAAGGGAAGTCAACTGGGGCTCAAGTGGTATGGAAAATTGCTGTAGAAACTTAGAAATATGCGAAAGAGCCTCGCGAGGTCTTGGGAAGTTATATCGCTATAGTAAAACTAGCGAAGCATGTCCCATCACGATTAGAGTATATCTCAAGAGAGTGTGTGTGCGGAAGAAGAGGAGGAACCTTTCCGTCACACATGTTTTCACCAATCTTATCTTTCTCCTCTCTCAGCACCTCTCTTGCAATCTTTATAAGTGTTAGCAAACGTCAAGATAGGGTAGAATATTTTTTTTATTTACCTTTTTTTGCACCTAAATTGTAAAATATTTTCAGTACAGTGTATATTTACCCTTAAATCTTGTATTTTTGAGGTTATATTCGTATTTTAACTCTGAATTTTGACGGAATTTTAAGGTTATGTTTAGTGTAGGTCTAGAGAACGGGTTTGAGGTTAGAATCTGCTAATATAACCTCAAAATTAGCTCAATTTCTTCAGTCAAAAAAGGTTATTCGGTTGAATACTGTGCTATAAGTATTTGGTTATTTTATATTCAGTTATAAAAAGGTTATTAGGTTGAATACTGTGCTATAAATAATTGGTTATTTTATAAAAAAAAATGTTATTCGGTTGAATACTGTGCTAAAAATATTTGGTTATTTTATATTCAGTTAAAAAAATGTTATTCGGTTGAATACTGTGCTATAAATATTTGGTTATTTTACATTCAGTTTAAAAAAAGGTTATTCGATTGAATACTGTGCTATAAATTATTAGTTAATTAGCTAACATAACCTCAAAATTAGATTAATTTTTAGCTTAAAAGGTTTGAGGTTAAAATTTTGGATTCTTAGTATTGAAAAAATTAAAATTAGAAGAGTATTTTAAGTAAAAGTATAAAGGGTGATATTTAAAAAAAACTGCTTTAAGACTACCAGTTCGCTTAATATTTTAAGAAAATTCGTTCTACCATTATAAACTTGTGTGCTTCAAAAGACGACAGAGGTCTCCATATAAAAAGATTCGCTCAAGCGCAATTTCTGCACCGTTTGGAAAATTGCATTCGACCAAGTTGTCGCGTTAAGTTTCCTCACGGGAATATGAGTAGACGGTACAACTCTTTGCTGTGCGTTAGTCGAATACAAAATGTCTAACATCGTTCATCTAAAGACCTACATGAAATTCAGTGAATCTTTTTTGTGAATTTTACACTTCAGAGAAATCTGAAATTAATCATAAAATAATTTTATTCATCTACCATATATTTTCTATATAATAACAATTTGCATATAGCCTGTTTTGTCTATTATCTCGAAACAATTTCTTTATTAATTAAATAGAAGCATTTTACAAACAGCGCTTTTAAAAATAAAATGTTGAGAGAAAAATTTATTTTCTTTGATGTTTATTTGTGTAAAAGTAAATTTACATAAATTTAAAAGTATTTAATTTAAATAAATATTTTATTATTCTCTGTTGTAGATTGGAGCTCTGACCAACTACTTTCATTTTACTCACGAGCGACTGAGAAAACGATCCCTCGCCCCAAGCGATTATCATCATAAGAAACTCAATGATGAGCCAGAGGTAAGTTTAATATTATATTAATTTTTTTTTTTTCTACTAAAGATGTAATATTGTTTTTTTTATTATTGACATTTTGAGAGCATTGGACACTTAAAATAAAATAAAAATTAATAAAAAAAAATAGCAGAATAAATTTCAAAATAATAAATATAAGCATTAATTATTTTATTTCTTAATTTGTAAATTCGTAAATACTGATTGGATATGACAAAAATTATTGAAGAGAATTTTCAAAATATCAAAATGGAAAACAAAAATTTAGTGAATTTTCCACTATCGATGACATTTATTCTTCGTTATGTGATATAACGATAATGAATCGTTGAGACGTGAATTCTCTGAGTGAACGTTAATGTAATTAGACGGGAAACTGATCGCTGGTGACCCATTACGAATACTGTGATATTGATGAATTAATAGCGACACAGAAAAACCGTTTGTTCCATAAACACTTTAATTGTTCTGATTTAACTAAAAAAAAATTCTCCCAATATACTCGAATTAAGGAAAATACCTTCATTCCTGCAAATTTAATTGAAATTAAACAAAAATTAAATTTAAAATTAAATTAAATCTACAATTCAACATCCCAATCTATTTACATATAAATTATTATTATTATTAATTAAATGAAAATTTTGTTTCAAAAGTCTTCAATTTTCAGAAGGCTATATAATTTATTAGCATATGAAAAGTTAAATTTCCCCCTACCTTTAATCATATATATATATATATATATATATATATATATGTAAAAGCTACGGCGTCTCGTGAAAATCGGAAGTAGGCAGAAAACTGGTATAGTACGCCATTCGAACGAGGTTCTGACTGAGTTAAAAGTTATCCTACTCAAAATTCAATTTTCCAAAGTTACCTCACGAAATCATGTGAACCGTTCACAGTTAGGGTCTCGTTAACATTCATATGCCACTAATTGCACGTTCAGTGTAGCAAAGCACTGCGCGTTTCTACTTGGATGAGAAAACCCCATGTGTCGGTTACATAAACTACTCAGTCACTTATATGTTTCAACAAATTTAAGATTGAAGTCATATTACGAAAATTTAAACGAAACGACTGCTATATGAAATTCAATTAATTCTCACCATAAATTATTATCATTCTAATTAAAAGGGGGAAAAAAAAAATTAAAATCAAATTGCAATCACAGCAAGAATTATTATTTCAGCTGAACTTCATTTATTTTACATTCAGTTATGTTATCGTATAAACAATTAATTTATTTTGTTGTCAAAATACATAAATTTAATTTAATAGAATAGAAAATTAATTTTATTTTTTGCAATTTTTAAAATTTATTTTTTTTATTTTTATTTATTTATTTAAAAAGGTGATTATATTATTTCGATAACAAATTAAATTGACCTGCAATTTTTTTTTTATGTATGTTTCTGAATATTTTTTACATTCATTGAACTTATTTCTGATTTCAGGTACATTGGGTACAGCAGCAACATGAAAAGAAACGACATAAGCGCGACTTTCACGGTACAACGTACACCTTTTCGGAATTTCCGCATTTCTTAGATCGTTTTGGTACGCAACAACGATCGTTTCCCCATCAACAGAGAAATAGAGAAATTCATGTTCAAAATTTGTTTCCTGATCCTCTCTATAAAGAGGAATGGTATATGGTAAGCCAATAAGATTTTGAAAAAATATCTTACAATTTAATACGAAAGCATAAAAAAAAAAAAAACATTCCATCCAGGATAAAATAGTATTAGACATACATTTATTCAAATAAATTAATTTGGATAAATTTATTTCGATAAATTGATTTGGATAATTTTATTTAAATAAATTAATTTGGATAAATTTATTTCGATAAATTGATTTGGATAATTTTATTTAAATAAATTTATTTCGATAAAGTAATTTGGATAAATTTATTTCGATAAATTAAAATAAATTAATTTGTATAAATTTATTTCGATAAATTAATTTTGATAAATTAATTTTGATAATTTTATTTTGATAATTTTATTTTAATAAATTTATTTTGATAAATTTATTCAGATACATTTTATTTATACAAATTCAATATTTACATAAATTCTCCACTTGCTCTAAATTTTGGTTTTAATTTTAAAAAATAATTCACTAATTTATTCGTTATTTATATCACTATGTTAGTGTCCATTATAAACTGTACATTATTGAATATTTACTATCTACTGAGATAAGTTATATTTAGATTCCAAATGTTTTACATTCTCATCTTACCTTCAATTTATTTAGATATTAATGAGATTTTCCACTTTTTGTTTAAATTGAATGAATATAAATATTTAAATGTCCAAAAATGTATTTTAGATTTTTCTTTCGATCAGCAATGTGTTTAGGAAATATTGATCTCGTTCAAAATTACGAAAATTACCTTAAAAGGTCAATTTCCTTTTTTTTTTTTTTTTTTTTGCTTCGTCGTGTAAATATAGAACATAATAATGAAATTTTAACTGATTTGCAAATTTTCACTACATGTTTGAAGAAAATTGACTTACGCATTGTAACCAAAGTTACAAACTCTCAAGTTTGGCAACTTATACACCTTCATTATTAATAGACTCTCAACATAAACTAACTTGATTAGCACTTTAGAAAGTTAATCGCCTAACGCTAGATCACCTAAACTGAAAACTGATCACTAAAATGCCCTGCATTTTTTTTTTTTTTTTTATTAATTTAAATTCAAAAAAAAAAATTTATTATAATGGATCAAAAACAAATCTGATTTTTATAATTATATATAAAATAAGAAATTTTTTTTTCAAAAAAAAAAATTTGTAATAAAAAGTTCGAATTGTATATTATTTTCCTATAAAATATCGTACTATATCCACCCACGATATGATATTATAAGGTTATAATATATATGATTCGTGGTGGTTTAGTTTTAGCGAAAAAAAAAAAAAAGGTCGAAAGCTCACTCCCCCTATCTAAGGTCGTTTAATTCACATGTAGGGAAGCTAACATATTTCTACATGTGGTTGTGTTAGTAGCGACGAAGTAAGAGATTCTCGAGGGCCTTTTAGGATTTATATTTGACACATAACGTTCCGCCCAAGCTATATTTTCTTGTTCCAGACAATATCTTTCTTGTTTCACATCTTTCCTTTCAAAACATTTCTAACAAATTTTTTCTACTTGCAGAATATTTATCACTTTCTCTCCATTTTTTCTTTTTTTTTCTTTTTATTTATTGTAATCAAAGATAGTGAATTTTACATTGGAAAATTATTTTCTCTTTTTCTATGGATCTCACGAGGAAATTATTCATGCTAGGACGGAGATTAATTTTCTCGATGAGAGTTTTCATTTAATTTTTGTATTAAGAAAAAATTTAATTAGATTCAGGAAAAATATATGAAAAGCTAATTAAGCTCGCCAAAAGAAATTAAAAGTCGATTTTTAATCTTGATTAGAATATTTTTTTTTATATTTATAATTTATATTTGAATAATTTTTTTATTTGAAACATGCATTTTGAAAATTCCTCTTATCGATTAAAAATTCGAATAAAATTTCAAGTTGTTTTTTTCTAGGCTCATCTCTCATTTTCACATTATTCTCTATTTTTCTTTCAATTTTTTTTTTTTTTTTTTCCCATCTAGTCTAGGGGAAAAAAAATGCGAGGGATGGAAAAATATTCAAAGAAAAAAGAGAAAATAAAGAAAGAGTGAAAGGCTCGGGTACATTGTGCTACGTACAATACCGCTCTATTGTCTCCTTCATCAACGCACGCGGTCGTCAACAATTGTGCAAAAGGCGAAAAGTATCTCACATCCTGTGGTGGATATTGACGAATAGAGTTTGTCGTCGTGACAAAAGTAAATGCAACAATTCCAACTAGAACATTCAACCCCATTCTACTAGTATCACTAATTAGATTCATAACAGAGAGAAACATTGGCCTCTGTTTTTCAATTCTTATACCAAAAAAAAAATAATTTTTTTTAATAAAAAAAATGGAAAAAAATAAATTTCAAAATTATGAAATATTTAAATATAAATTTTTTTTTCAATTGAAAATTTATTGCCTTTGTTTTATTATAGAATGGTGGATCAAAGGATGGATATGATATGAACGTGGCACCTGCCTGGGAAAGGGGTTACACTGGAAAAGGTGTTGTTGTGTCAATTTTAGATGATGGAATTCAAACAAATCATCCAGATCTTGCGGCGAATTATGATCAGAATGCAAGTTATGATATCAATGGAAATGATGATGATCCAATGCCAAGGGACAATGGTGACAATAAACATGGTACACGATGTGCCGGAGAAGTTGCTGCCGTTGCTTTTAACCAATATTGTGGTGTTGGAGTTGCTTACAATGCCAGTATAGGAGGTATTGTTTTCTACAGATGAAAAAAAAATATAAATTTTTTTTTGCATTTTTTATGCGATAAATTTCTCCAACCAATTCACAAATAATAGAACAGTCCCAATTTTGACCCTGGTGCAAAAAAAAAAAAAAAAAAAAAAAGCCTCTCTCTTTTATTCTTCACAACCACTTTGTACCACAAAACTCGAAACAATACTCCGGTATTTTCAAATCTTGACAAAAGAGAGACATCGCACAATTTTAACCGGTTGAAAGCACTATATATCGACCCGCTTTTCACCCCCTTCCCCTATGGTTTGAACCACTCAAAGTCACTATTGAATTCAATCGCAATTTCGATAGATCGCGAGCACTTATTTACAATGTCTGCTTTGAAATAGATTATCAATTTTGTTCTTTTTTTTCTATTTATTTCCATTGAAAAATAGAAGGGACAATATTTCATTTAAAATCGTTGTGGCTTATTTTTGGGAAAAATGATATAATTATATAATAATAAAATGTTTGGTCTGTCCTTCTGTCCTAACTTGAAGTTGGCCTTATCTGATTTCACGTGTTTTTTTGAATAGTAATCTTATGACGTGTCAAATTTTGACAATTCTTTTTCTCATTTTTGCCAAAGTTGTATAATTGTGTTTCCAAATTTCGGAATAAGTTTCTTTCAAATTCCAAATTCGAAAATTCAATTCACGAAGCTGAAGTACACAACGTTTACCAACGAAATTTTTTTTAATGTTGTATATTGATTCAAAAATTGTATACGCCAGGAAATTTCGTACAAGATAGTAATTTGAAAAAACTTTATTTTTTAAAATTAATTTTTAAGGTACCAGGGGCCAACGAATACCTATTAAATATTAATTATAAAAACACAGGCCTCGAATCAGACACAAAAAGTCGTTTGAGTCGATTTATATTCAAAAAAAAAAGTGGATTTCTTTTTTATTTTAACAAAAATATTTTACAGATTTTTAAATAAAAATTTTTTTTTTAATAATAATCCTTTTCGATGGGTTAAAGTTGAAATTTTTAGAAATAATTAAATTTCAAAAGATATTGATAATTTTCAAACAATTATTAAATTTTACAGAACTAAAAATAATTTATCAAACAATTTTTGGAAAACATTTTTTAAATTTAATTGAATTTTCAAAAATTTAAAATTGAGATTTTTCAAATTAATTGAAACTTTAAGTGTTTTGTAATTAAAATTTTAGATGATTTCACTAAAAATTTATTAGAAAATGCGGACAAAATACAATAATTTGAAAATCATTTTTAATTGAAAAATGGTTTCAGATAGTTGAAATTTCAAAGAATATTATTAAAATAGTTAAAAATAATTGAATTTCCTTAGAGTTATAATTGAAATTATTAAATTACAAAAAAAAAAATTTCGATGGAAAATTTTAGATGCTTTTAAATTCAAATTATTGAAAATTCAATTAATTTCGAATTCAAATTTTTTAGAATAATTAAATTTTATTTGATTTTAAATTTGGAAAATAATTGAATATTAGTTTATTTTGAATTGAGAATTTTGGATAATAATTAAATTTTAATTGAAATTTTGGATAATAATTTAATTTAAGTTCATTTTTCATTAAAAATTTAAATAATTAATTTTGAATATAAATTTTAGAAAATAATCGAATTTTATTTCATTTTAAATTGAAAATTTTTGATAATTATTGAATTTTAATTGATTTTGAATTAAAATTTCTTGTAATAATTGAATTTTAGTTTATTTTGAATTGAAATTTTTAAAAAATAATTCAATTTTGTTGTAATATATTTCTTTAAATTATAAACAATTGTTAAATTTCATAAAAATTTTAATTGAAAAATAATTTTGATATAATTGAATATGTGATGTATTTAATTAAAATTATTAAAAATAATTAATTTAGTGAAGAATCATTTTAGTTAAAAATTTGTTAAATAATTGAATTGAAGAAGATCTGAAGAAGATCTACATTTTATACTAAAAAAATGTATTTTATTTACATTTTTTTTCAAATGTCAAAAAAAATGTCGCATTTTATTAAAGTAAGTCGATAAAAGTCGTATTTTTGAAAAAAGTCGGAAAAAGTCGTATAATTCGAGGCCTCTAAACATATAATTTTCATTATTATTATTTAATATGTAATAATATTCTAATAAATTAAATTATTATTGATAATATTAATCTTTAATTTCTTTATAACAAACAATTAAATACTCAATTTGGCGCGCTTGTGCGCGTTTAATTTTGCTAGTTCCTAATAATTTGATATCCGTACAATTAATTTTTGTCTATTTAATAAAATTTTATACAGTTATCTTAAAATAATGATTTGCACGGGAAACAGTTAATTAGAAAAAAATTTAATAAATAGTACAAAAATAATATAGATAATGTTAATTTCTTTATTGATAATTGTTCAAAACAGTCTAATTTAATTATTATTAATTTATTGTTGACAGGAGTAATTATGAAATATCAGAGGTAAATACAAAATGCGCAATTCTTTTTTTTATGTAAAATTTTTATAGTAAATTGATTTAATTTGATTCTTGTTTTAAATAATAGTTTAATATTTTGCCTACAAGGTAATTCAAATTTTTTTTTTATTGTCACTGGCAACGAGAAAAAAAAATTGTCAAACTTCAAAATAGTGAAAAGTTTATTTCAAAAAAATACGAAAATCCATCTCCGAATTCAATAAAAGTTATTAAATAATATTTTTTCCCTTTTTTTAAAAAATTATTTTACTCCGGAGTATTAAATAAAAAAATTTCTTATTATACAAACAAAGAAAGTATATTATATATATAATATGCTTTTAAAATTAAAAAATTTATTCCATAATTGACCCAAATTAGGCAATTATGGAACAATATTGAAATTTAAATAGCTTTGTTAATTTTTTTCTTAATGAAACTTGGAGGAAATCTTCGGAAGAATATTCAAAATATATTTGAATAGGTTAAAAAATTTTTTTTTAATTTAGAATTTTGATGAAGAAAAAAACGGAAAAAAATTGCATTTTTTGTTTCATAATTTCTCCGGTTGACGTTAAACTTTTTTTTAACAATTTAGATTTTTTAAATTCTAAATTTATCTAATTTTAGTTTTAAAAAATTATTTTCATTTTAATCTTTAATTTCGTTTTTCTCAACGTTTTTTAAAATTCAATTTAAATATTATCTTATTCCCAGTCAAATTTTGATGTGTAAATTAAATACAGAATTTTTCCTTTTTCCAGAAAGGATTTATCAGTATTTAAAATTTTTATTAAATAATTGTCAAAAATGAATTACACTGATATAAAAAATGATTATTAATAAGATTTAAAAAAAAAAAGCCCGCAATTTAAATGAAATATAATGTAAAAACCAGAAATATAATTTTTTTTATAAAATTAAAAGCAAAATTCGTTAAATTTTTTTTTTTTTTATAATTTTCGATTTTAATCCTTTTTTTTAGAAAAAGTATTTTTCGACATTTTGAATCAATCATATAAAATATATATATATAGTGCCCGGGGAAAATCGATATTTGAATATATTGATAACTCATCACTATTTTATACTGTTGAAAATGGTTTTAGGAGTTAGAATGCTGGACGGAGTAGTAAACGACGCGGTGGAAGCAAAAGCCCTGGGATTGAATCCTGATCATATTGACATCTATAGTGCATCCTGGGGACCGGAAGACGATGGGAAAACTGTAGATGGTCCTGGTCCTCTTGCTAGACGTGCCTTCATTTATGGAGTCACAAGCGTAAGTTTCCGTCATGGTTGAAAGTCACTTTTCGGTTTATATATATATAACTTACTATTTTATTATCTGTTTACTGCACCACTCAATTTTCTACATTTTAAAAACTTTTATAGATATAATAAACGATTCTTTATTCGAAATATTATACGATTGAATAAATGCTGAAGTAGTTAAATCAAATATCGGAAAATATTTTTAAGTTATACCACTTTCGAAATTGTTTCAATAATATATTCACCCCTCCCCGTTACTTTTTGGTCACAAATACATTTTAGGTATTGCATGTTTTAAATTTTCTGTTAATTTTTAATGTCGTGAATCGATTTCAAACCATTAGCTAATTGACTATATAATCTTAAATTCAAACATAATTCTTACTTGCGAATATAAGGATTTATAGTGTTAAATAAAGTAAAATTCTAAATTTTTAATTGATGTTCGTATTGATATTAAATTTTGATTCTATTTGACTAAAATGTCATTTAATCGACTGTCACTTTGAACAATGAAATATGTAACGATTTACCACCGACTATACGTGAAACGTTACAAATACGTCAATTCTGTTCGTTTTTGATGCGAAACATGTCACCACTTTACGATTTTAATAAATAAATTTTCATTTATGTTTTCATGTCTAACAAATGTGAATTCTTCATTTTTTTTTTTTTTTTTTTTTTTTAAAGTAAACAATAGAATTCGAAATTTCGAATGTTCAACAAATATTATTTTTAATAAAAAAAATATTTTATAACGATTTATTTCATATTGTTGGTCAGTTTTTTACCCAAAAAAAAAAGAACAACAGCTGTTAGCAATCAAACATTGCATGAAAGTTTAATTTTAAAAGTCGTTTTAATAGCTGTTTTAAAATTTATTTTTCAACATTCATTTTATTTAACGAGTTATTTTACGTTCACGTTACAATTTTATTGTCAAAAAAGAAAAAAAAATGCGGAATACTTTTTACTTTTAAGAAATAAATTTTTTTTTAATAAAAAATTCAATAATAAATAATATAATTTGAATTTAATATAAATGCATTAGTTTGATGAAATGTTTTTTTTTTGTCGATCCAAAGGGTCGCCAGGGAAAAGGTTCAATTTTCGTGTGGGCATCAGGAAATGGAGGTAGACACACGGATTGTTGCAATTGTGATGGGTACACGAACAGCATCTTTACACTCTCAATATCGAGTGCCACTCAGGGTGGCTACAAGCCTTGGTACTTAGAGGAATGTAGTTCGACTCTGGCCTCGACCTATTCCTCTGGGTCACCCGGTAATGACAAGAGCATTGCAACCGTTGATATGGACGGGAAACTTAGACCCGATCATATATGCACCGTTGAGCATACTGGTACATCGGCATCGGCACCAATTGCCGCTGGAATTGCCGCTTTGGCACTTGAGGCAAATCCCTCACTTACATGGAGGGATATGCAATATCTTGTGGTATTGACATCAAGATCGGCGCCCCTTCAAAAAGAATCTGGTTGGGTTCTCAATGGGGTCAAGAGGAAAGTTTCACATAAATTTGGTTACGGTTTGATGGACGCCGGTGCAATGGTTAAATTGGCAGAGCAATGGACCAACGTTCCAGTTCAGCATATTTGCAAGTCCCCTGAGCACATCAAGGAGCAACCGATCGACCCGACCTACGGTAATTCACTTACTGTAGCCATGGACGTTAACGGATGTTCCGGTACGCCGAATGAGGTTCAATTTCTTGAACATGTTCAATGCAAGGTGAGATTTCATTTCATGTCACCTCATGAAATTTAGCTCGACAAGTAACGATACTTTTCTTATTAATTAAAAATCATTATTATCTGAAAATTTTTTATATTTTCTCATAAATTGAAAATTTTTGTCATAAATTTAACGACTCACAATAAAATTGTGAGGTACAAATCCAAAGTGAATGAGAATAAATGTAAAGGTCAAATTGGATTTAGTTGTTACATGACGGGCTTTAACGAGAACAGATAGTGGTAATCAGACAAGACAAATGTTTAGAAAGAAAGAACAGAGAAGACGCGGATTTTTTTTCTTATCTTTTGCAGATATCCCTCAGATTCTTCCCTCTAGGAAATCTTAAGCTTCTCCTGACCTCGCCAATGGGTACAACATCCACACTTCTCTTTGAACGACCACGTGATACATTCAACTTTAAATTCGACGACTGGCCCTTCCTCAGCGTTCATTTCTGGGGTGAAAAAGCCGCCGGGCGTTGGACTTTACAAGTCATTAACGCCGGAAGACGACACGTTCAAAAACAAGGTATTTTTTATCACTCTTTTTTTTTATCGAAAATTACATTTAAAAAAAGAATTTAGAAAAATCTTCAGTATTTTTTAATATGGAAATTAGAAGAGCCGAGAAGGATAACGTCAATAAATAATTATTGACAAAATGGTTTGTTTTTTACTTTTTTTTAAAATTTTACTAACTCACAAAATGTAAATATTCACCTTTAACTTTATCACCTGTGCATAATTTTTGCAGCTCATTAAAATATATATCACGTAAATATTGACTAAAGCTAAATTAAAAACAGATTTATCTCACGCTTTTATAAACTATTTTTCTCTACTAATTACTAATAATATTATAAAATTACTCGAAAAAAAATGGGTAAAATGAAAAAATTCGTTGACTAATAAATATTGTTGACTAATGAAAAAAAAAAAATGAGTAAAATAAAATATAAAGTAACATTAGTGAAATTTTTGTTACAGGAATTTTGCAGAGATGGCAACTGATCTTCTATGGGACATCGACGAATCCAATAAGATTGCGATCTCATCAATATAATCCGGTACAAACGGCTTCTCAAGCATATTCCTCCTCTGTAGAATATCCATTTTTCTTTGATCAACATCGTTCTGCGGACGAATTTCGCGATTCCGACTTCTTTGCACGGTCTGGCTTTCAGGGATACCAGGGTCCATACACGGGTGCTGCCTCCAATGTTGAAGCTTCAGTGACAACTCTCGATGGCGCTTCCAATCCACTTTTGACGAATCGACTGCCTGGCGATCTTTCCCCATCGGACGATTCCTTTGATTCGGGGAAAAAAATTCGACAGCAGGACTGCGATCCACAATGCGATATTCAAGGATGCTATGGAAAAGGTCCAACTCAATGTGTCGCCTGCAAGAGCTATCGACTTGATAAGTAAGTCATTTTTATTTTTCTCAAAATTTTTTTTTTTTTTAATTGAATTAGAAACATTTTATTAAAAAATAATTTTTAAAAATTAATTTTCTAACAGCTAATATGGAATTATTTTACAATAGATTCACGATTAGAATTAGACCCAATTTCAAAATTAATCCACTATAAAAAAAGATTAATTGGCATGAAATTCTTTTTTTTAATTATTCATTTTTTGCATTATATCAACCTTTGTTTTTAACTTCATTTTATTTTCCTCCTTTAATTTTCAGACATTTCATGTTAATTAAAAAAAATGTAATTAAAGGAAATGAAATTTACTTCTTTAATTAAACAGAACATTTTTAATATCGGCAGCTGTAATAAAAAAAAAAAAAAAAAAAAGTAATAAATTTTTTTCACAAACAACTTTTTAATAGACAAAGAAAAAAAGTTGTCATTTAAATAAATTGTTAAAAACATATTTTCCCTATTTACAGATATTATTTAATTTTTAATGAAAATAATTATTCGAAACAAAATATAATAAAACAAATTTTGTCACTTTTCCTATGAAATTCACTTGGAATAAAATATATCATAAAACAATTGTATTGTTTATTTCGTCATGTTCTCAGTTTGATTTATCGAAATCATAGAATTTTATATATGTGTCAGTGACGTTTGGCTTTTTCCTAAATGGAATGACACAGCAATGCTTTTCATGGAGTATTTTTTTTTTTTCTCTATCAAAGACAACATTGCTACAGGCATCATTTTTAATGGTCCATTAGTTTAATGAATTTTTTTTTTTTAATCTAACAAAAATTATTTTACATTTAATTATAAAATAAAAGCAGGATTATTTATTTAGCAATAGTTTGAAAAAATTCGATTCATTCGTTATTAAAAAATTTTAACAATTTTACTAATTGCAAATAACTATCTTATTTAACTTCCTATTTTTGGTCATTTGATTTATGGCTACTTAAAATTGTCTTGATTTACATTAAAAGATTCTTATTTTGTATGTTAATAAGAAAATTCTGTTTTTTTTTCATCATCCATACTGAAATGATTGCGAGATTAGGCAGGAAAAGGAAATATTAACAAACGAAGATAAATTGTGATTTTAACTTTTAATTAAATTTGATGATTTTAATCCAAGTGTATTTTATCTCTAAGGTTTTTTTTTATTTAATTTCCCTGAGTGTATTTTGGATTTTTATTGATATTTGTAGTGAATTTTTTTTTTCTTCTTTCATATGAAATACTTTTTTTTCTCCGTCAATATTGAAATATAGAGTCTATGCCATGAGTTAATCGCGACGAACAGAAGGAGCTCGTTTCTTACATTATAGTCCAAGTCCAATAGAGCCAAGCAATTTTGGCTTCTTTCTGAATCCGATACAAAATATAATAAAAATAAAAGGACTCTTTTTCTCTCTTGAAAAGTTATAAACTCAGCTTGGCAAAGTAACTGAGAATTTTGTCTTGGCTCATGATCGGCACACTTGCACAAAGCCAGTCTTGCCATTTTCCTAATGATGTTATTTTCCAAAGTGCTCCTCACGATTAATTTCAATTGCAAAAAAATTTCACTCGCAGCTTTGTATGTGATTTAAAAATTTCATGAATAATACATTTGTTTTTTGGAAAAAGGAAAATTATTTTTTATGTGAATTTTTTTTTTCTTTTTTTTTCAGTACATGCATAAGTCGTTGTCCGCCAAGAAGTTTTCCAAATCAGGCCGGTGTGTGTTGGCCGTGTCACGAGTCATGTGAAACTTGCGCAGGTGCTGGACAGGATTCATGTCTATCCTGTGCTCCGGCTCATCTTCGAGTTACAGATTTAGCCATTTGTCTACAACAATGTCCTGAGGGCTACTATGAAAGTAAGTGCCTTCATTTATCAACTGAATTCCAAGAAATGGGAGACTTGAAATTTTGCCAATATTCCATACTCTTTATTCTTGATATTTATTTGACAGTTTCCATGTGCCAGGTAAATTTAGAAGAACATTATTCGTCTCAATGAGAAAAGTTAATGTCAAATTGGATTTAATATTTATATTTACTGTAGCAATTTTTATTTTTTAGATTTAGAAATTTATTTCCTCTTTTCTTTTTTTTTTAAATTGAAAAAAGATTTTCTAAATTAGATTTACATTTTTACTCGAATAAACTTTGAAATTTAGTTTTCAGTGGAAAAGTTTGAAAACCAATTTTGAGGGTTTTATGTAAATTAAGTTTAGGGGAATTACATGAGTTTGCTTTTTAAACTTTATCAACAGATACAGAAAATAGTACCTGTGTACCGTGTGAGGCAAATTGCGCAAGCTGTCAAGATAGGCCTGATCACTGCACCAGTTGCGAGAATCATCTCGTAATGTATGGGAATAAGTGTTATGCAGCCTGTCCTCTATACACCTATGAAACACAAGATTACAATTGTGTTCCTTGTCATTCCACTTGCGAGACGTGTAATGGCACCGGGGAAAATCAATGCATCAGATGTCGTCCCGGATTGTTCGTTCTCAATGGTATGTATCGGAGTATATTCCAAAGTAATCAATAAAGAACAAAAACTTTCCACAATAATTTCATTCATCATTGACGATTTAAATTTTCATTTTCATTCATAAATTTTCTTTACACTTTGAAAGCTTAAAAAAGTTACTTGAAAATTTATGATCGGAAAATCAGAAACTGCAGTTAAAATCAAGTAAAAGATATAAAATCTCTTTGATTTCAGTTAACTTATTCTGAGTTCTCTTAAAACGTTTATTTATCGATATATTAAAAGTATAATAGATTTTTTCCTTTTTTTCAGGACGTTGCACTAATTCATGTCCAGATGGTTATAGTGCTGATAAAAAATATCGTGAATGTATTCCATGTTCGGCGCATTGTGCAACTTGTGATTCATCAAAATGTACTAGCTGTATTTTTGGTTGGAGTTTTAATAAAAAAGGAGAATGCACACCAGACACACGATCACGTTGTGATAGTTCGGAATTTTATGAAGCAGGACATTGTAAACCATGTCATTCAACGTGCGAGACTTGTGTTGGCCCCACTGAGGACTTTTGCATATCCTGTCAGAATCCATTACTCCTTCAAGGTAGACGATGTGTCGCCCAATGTGACGACGGTTACTATTCCAAGGTGCAACCATCGGGTCCAATTTGTGCCCCTTGTCTACAGACCTGTAAGACTTGTGTTTCTGAAATGAATTGTACAACTTGTCAAGAAGCCTTACAATTACAGAGCGGAGAATGCCGTTCCTCATGTGCCGAAGGGTAAAATCAACATTTATCTCCTAAGGATTTTCAATTATTTTTTTTTTTAAATTATTTATTATTTTCATGTATTATTTTTTTATTTCATTATTTTATTTTTTTATTTATTTAATTTAAAAAAAAAATATTGCCAAGGTTTGTGAATTATTAGAATTTTCCCCTTTTGATAAGGGGAGAATAATTGACACGTAAATGAAAAAAATTTTTTTTTTTCTGAAGTTATTACAGTGACAGGGGTCAATGTGCCAAATGTTACCTTTCTTGTAAAACTTGCTCGGGACCAAGAAGAGATCAATGCGTCAGCTGTCCCACAGCGTGGCAATTGGCATCAGGTGAATGTCATCCCGAATGTCCCGAAGGCGATTTCAGAAGTAAATTTGGCTGTCGAAAGTGTCATCATTATTGCAAAACTTGCAAAGGTTAATTAAATTTTCATTTTTTAACCTTTTTATTTTCGATTCGGAAATTTTTAACTCACACGAATTTGGATTCAATTCAAAGTTAACCAGTTTTCTCCAATTAATTATTAATTTTATTGAAAAAAAAAAATTGTTTTTAACGTTTTTCTTCTTTTCTTTTAAAAAAGGCGAAGGTCCACTTGAATGTACATCGTGTCCACCGCGTTCAATGCTGGAGGGTGGATTATGTATGGAATGTCTTGGTGGGCAATATTACGATTCTCAAACTCAACTTTGTAAAAACTGTCACGAGAGTTGTCGCACCTGTACGGGTCCAGGAAAATACAATTGTGCATCGTGCGCAAAACCGCTGCATTTACACAAACTTAATAATCAATGTGTATTGTGTTGTGCAGCCAATGAAAAGAAAGCTGAAAATGATGAATGCTGTCTCTGTGATCCCGATACTGGTTAGTTAAAAAAAATTATTTTCAAATTAAAATTATTTATCTTTCTAAAGATTATTTGTTTTTAATTAAAATTCACGAAAAAGTTCTTTGTGAGAAAATAAAATCGGATCTTTTCAAAACTGCTAATCTAAGTATTTCTGATATTTTTGTTAAATTAAAGTTTTTCGTTTTAATTCGAAGAGAGTAGATCTCTGAAAAAGGGTAATTCATTCACCATGGTCAGAGAAGTATATCTCTATTCGTGGATTCTGAATTGACCATTTCCAAAGATCGAAAGAGAAGTTCCTTTATTTAGTTTCCGAGTACAGTAGTGAACCCTCTGGCTATCACTGCACTTGGTAGCTCATTACCAATTCAGAGTTGGTGGCGGAAGTCCCCTCTTCCTCCCCCCTACATACAAACTCGATGAACGTAATGATGTGAGTGACGCTGCTACTCACATCTATTCAAAATTCGAATATTTTAATTTTTGGAAAATTTAATGTCTTTAACCAATTATTTTATTAAAACACCTTTCGGTTTTAATTCATTACATTTTTCACAATTAAAATTGTCATCATATAGAAAAATAAACATTTTTCGAGTATAAGAGAAAAAAATTTTTTTCTTTTTTTTAATTAAAGGTAGCTGCAGGAACAGCTCACCGGCAGGTAAAAGAAGAGTTCCAGGAACTGAATTATCTTCATTAGATTCATTAGAAGTTGAAAGTGCAGCACAATATGGTAACACTCACAATTTGGATGTGGATTCATTGAATACATCCGCAATGACAGTCATGACACTTGGTATTTTTATTTGCATGGCTTCAATCACATTATTTGTGAGTGTATTCGGCGTACTGCAGGTAATATATTAAAAAAAAAAAGTTTTTTAAATTTGAATATTTAAAAATTACTTTTTATTTTTCATCAAGGCGGATATTATAAAATGTATTTAAAAATATTTCTATTTTAATTTAAAACTAATAATTTAACTGATTTATATTTACGTAAATAGTTTATTATCGAGAAAGTTGAACAATGAAATTTGTAATCTCCTTAAAATTTAATGCTGAAGAGGATGCTTTGTCTACAAAGGGCTAATGTAACTCTAGTAATCTGATGTAATCCTTAAAAATCTCTTGCAGTTTCAAATTAATGTATTTTATGTACCAATTTAAAAAAATTAAAAATTTATAAGCTTTTATTTAAAAAAAAAATTAAAATTTGCCAGTGAATGAGGCAAAAAATAGAAATGAAAAAATTCTTGTTTTAGTTATTGTCAAGAAGAAGGGAGGTTTCAATGGGATATACTCAATTGGCCGTAAGAGTAGAACATTTGGATGAAGGAGACGTCGACGATACAACCGAGCTTATGACGTAGTTCTTTTAAAGACATTTGTCATCCATAGCCAGAAATTACGTCAGTGGTTGACAAAAACACCAACAAAAAATAAAAACAAAAAAAATGAATGTCAAACTCGAAAACAGGACTTTGGAACAATAGAAGGCATTTCGTTTTAGAAAAATCCTTCAGGAAAAAATTTCAAGTCTTGTTTCAACTTTAAGTGAAAGTGATTTCAAGGAGAATAAAAACCTTAAAAAAAAGAACACAAAAAAAATAAACGAACAAAAAATGTCTTTGTACAGAAGTGAAATATGTATGAGTGAAATGTGTGTCTGTAAATATATTTACTGCGCTGCGTTCGAGCAAAAAAAAAAAAAAAAAAAAGCAAAAAGAAAAAAAAAAACACTAACTTGAATTGTAAATCAAGAAATGCTCGTACGAAGTGCAAATTTTGTAAGTAGAAATTATTTCGGTCAGTGATCTGTCCGATTTTTATGCGTTAGATAAATCGATGCAGAGAACGAATTTTCAGTTCGTGATTATATAGATGAATTGATCAAGAGAAAACAACAACGATGAAGGCAGAAAAAGAAATATTTTTTTTTTTTTTTTTTTTTTTGCAAAGAGGGTGAAAGACGGTGTTAAGTGCCTGATTAGTGACACCTTTTGACCCTCCTTTCCCCCCTTTTCCCGTCCTTCGATCGTCTTTTATTCTGCCAAATATCTTCCCCCCTAGTGAAAATATTAGCTCTCGCCGGGGAGAGTTTATTGGAATAAAAACAAAGAAAGCTATTGGGTCACTATTATATTTTTTATTAAGAAAAAAAAAAAATTCCCATTAGAAATTGAATACATATTTTTACACACAAACTTTTTCTCTGCAATAATCAAACAATTTTAATATTGATATTTATTTTTTTCATCATTAAATTCCGTTTATATAAATATAATAGAAATGACCCAATTCTCTCCCTTCGTGTTTTTTACTTTAAAAAAAAAAACACACAAGAGAACTCTTAAAGAAAGAGTTTGTAAAACATGTATGAATGGAAACGATTCTGGTCCTCCATTGCAATAATTGTAAAGTCATCGTCCTTTTGTATATTTGTATGAATGAACGCGACGATGCTGAGAGAATTAGTCGAGGGTAAAAAAAAAGATGGATATCGAGCGTTTTACAACCTTTGAAAGAAGGTAAGTCAAATAAGTCGGAATATTAAATTTTCTTTGTTTTTTCTAACTCTTTTCAAGTTCCCTGACATTAATTCAAACAAAAATTTAACATTCTTTGTATTTTATTAATGTGACTAAGTTCTTTTAAGGGTCATGATTTTTCAATCCGACTATGTCCAAGTCCTTTTTAATTTGTTCATTTTTTTTTTATTTCGAGATTACTAAAATATTATTTTTTCGCAAAAAAAACGTATATTTTCTATTTTTCAAATGAGTTTTTTATTTTATTTTTTTTGTTATTTTAAATATACGAAAGTATTTTGTTGCGAAGAGCGTGATCGATATTCTCGAAAAACAACCACCCACTATGTGAATATTGAACTTCTCGTGATTTTATATAATGCTAATATTGTACTTTTATGATGAATGCGATTATAAATATATACATATTATATAAAAAAAATTGGTTCAATTTTTTTTGTATTTCCTTAAAAATACAAATCCTTAATTGATCCTTAAGAATTTATCAATTAAAGAAATTGAAAATTTCCTTGAGAAAAATAAATATATTCTTTTGTCTTAGACCAATTTTATTTTCTATTTCATTTTTTTTTCAGTACAAGGAACAATGGACGAAAAAGTTTCAAAAGGTTGAAAAGAATCTACACAGACATCAACGTCGCAAACTTTTTGCTTGGCTGATGCTTTTACAAATTTTCCCTCCTCATCCGGGGGGGGGGGGGAAATGAAACAAAACCTTCCATTTCATTTCTACGACACACTTCCGGCTTGTGTGCTTTTGCAAACCAAACGCCAAACTTTGCCGAGTCTCGTTCATTACCCGCTAATTTTCCGTGGCTCCGCAATGCCGCGGCGAAATTGAAAAGAACTCTATAGCTATAATTATTTGACAAGTCTAACTGAATGCAGCGAGTTTTTACATTATGTGTCTTTATAAGAGGGAATTTTAAAGAATCCAAAAAAAAAAAAGAAATATATAAAATCTGACGACGAATAAAAAATTTTATTTTCAAAAACAGTAATTTTTTTTAGAAAAAAATAAATAAATAAATTACGCGAATGAAAGGGCAAATAACAATCTTCTGACAATTAATTGAAAAAAAAGAAAGTATTTTTAATTGAAAGAGTTGAAATTCTTTGTTGTGATCTTCTCTCTCAGTAAATTGGAATCTTTGTATCAAAGTACAAGAAGAATGCCAGAATGATTATACTTGTAATATAATACGAAAAAAAATTCAATACTTAAAAAAAAAACTTCGCTCACTTCAATTCTCTTTTTAAAAATAAATTTCTTTTTTAATATTAATCTCTTAAATCGCTGTTGAAGTTTCCAATGAAAAAGAAGAAAAGAAAAAACTAGTTTCGATCAAAGAAACTATAAAGGTAGTTTCTGGTTGCATTAATATAAGAAATTCCACAAGCCACTCAAGAACATCAGAAAACGAAATAGAGGAAATAGGTGAAAGAACTAAACGGAAGTGATAGCATCTCGGGGTTTATTTGGTAGCGAAGTAGTTTGGGCGGAAAGCCACATATTCATCACGTTTAACTTATCGCGGTGAGTCGTCGCCATTGCTTCTTTTCTTCTAGTTTTGAGTAGAGAAAAAGAGAGAGAGAGAGATGCCTTTTAGTTTTTCTTTTTGAGCCGCACCAACTCCTTATTTATTTTCCCGCGGTCTCGCAATCGAACGTGTCTTGCATAACACGAGACTTTGAATTGCACATACGCGATTTTCCACTGTACATAAAGCATTCGGAGTCATGAATAGAAAAAATAATCTAATATATATTCTGAAAAAGAAATTATTCATGAAAAATAATTTAATAATTAGAAATAATGAAAAAAATTATTGAGAAAAAAATGTATGACTTCTTTTTTATTTTTTTATTAATTATAATTTATTAGTTTTTTTTAAAAAGAAGAACTTCTTCACACGTAATTCATAAATTCATGAGGATTTCCAAAGTCGTAAAACGTAAGTCTTGGCAATTTTCAAGCTACTCACTTGAAAGTGTACTTAGGGGAAATGGAGAAATAGAGGCTGATTGAACTTGAGAGAAGCATTTGTAACCGTATACACTAACGCGGCTTTTCCATACATATAGATCTCAAAAGCTAAACAATAAGATTTTTATGATACCTTTTTCTTCAATTTCAAAATTATATATCTCAAAAAAAAATTCATAAAATTAATTTTTAAGGCGAGGATTATTTAAATCCTTTTTTTAAGAATTTTTTGAATTCTTTAAATTTTTGAGTCCCATTAAATTTTAATTCACAATTTATTCACAAAAAAAAATTATTGCAGAAAAATTAAATTAACATTAAAAATATAGAAAAGATGATTGAATTTGGATAAAAGTTTTTTTTTCAAATTTAAAAAAAAAAATCCATACGCTCATAGGATTAGAGAAGAATTATAGGTATAAAAAAAAATAAAAGTTTGACCTAACACCCCCACGAACTTTGTCGTTACAGGTTTTAACCCGATTACGTCCTTTTCTAGATTGGCGTATTGGTCAATAAATCGGGATAACGTTCCATACCGTAAATTCGAGAACGATAATTCGAGGTAGGAATCCACTTTTATCAGTTTCAACCCTGTCAGGTAAGCGGATACCGTAAATTTGTAAAGGCAAATCCCTGCGTGAACAGGGATTTTACGATAATATATACCTATATATCGTTTAATTAGCCACGCGCGATATGTCTAAACCAAAACTGATTGCAATAAAGTCACCAATCTGACACACAACAAAGTGAATATCAAAACTTCATTACATATTATATATTGACGCATACAAGTCATCTCTCTCTCTCTCTCCATAAGGGTATAGAATATTGCAGAAATCAAATTCCTATATCAAAGTTATTTTCCCATTAAACTTTACAAAATAGAGCAAAATTATCTAAAATATTAAATTATTATACTTTTTTAATAATTTATAAAACACAAAATAATTATAATATTCTCGAAAGCATCTCGAAAGTTTTATTCATAAAACTAGCAAAATTAAAAGCGCGCCAAATTGAGTATTTACTTGTTTGTTATAAAGAAATTAAAGATTAATATTATCAATAATAATTTAATTTATTAGAATATAATTACATATTAAATAATAATGAAAATTATATGTTTACAGGCCTCGGATTATACGACTTTTTCCGACTTTTTCAAAAATACGACTTTTATCGACTTACTTTAATAAAATGCGACATTTTTTTACATTTGAAAAAAATGTAAATAAAATACATTTTTTTAGTATAAAATCTAGATCTTCTTCATTTCAATTATTTAACAAATTTTGAACTAAAATGATTCTTCAGTAAATTAATTATTTTTAATAATTTTAATGAAATACATCACAAATTCAATTATATCAAAATTATTTTTCAATTAAAATTTTTATGAAATTTAACAATTGTTTATAATTTAAAAAAAAATATCACAATAAAATTGAATTATTTTGTAAAAATTTCAATTCAAAATAAACTAAAATTCAATTATTACCCGAAATTTTAATCAAAATCAATTAAAAATCCAATAATTATCAAAAATTTTGAATTTAAAATTTAATTATTTACCAAGTTTTCAATTTAAAATGAAATAAAATTCAATTATTTCCCAAAATTTTCAAAATTCAAATTAACTGAAATTCAATTATTTTCCAAATTTAAAATCAAATAAAATTTCATTATTCTCCAAAATTTGAATTCAAAATTAATTGAATTTTCAATAATTTGAATTTAAAAGCATCTAAAATTTAATTATTTCTAAAATTTTCCATCTAAAATTTTTTTTTTGAAATTTAATAATTTCAATTATAACTCTAAAGAAATACAATTATTTTCCAAAATTTGCAATTTAAAATGAACTAAAATTCAATTATTTTCAAAATTTTCAATCCAAAATCAAGTAAAATTCAATTACTTTCAAAAGTTTCTATTTAATATTAATTTAAATTAAATTATTTTCCAAAATTTCAATTCAAAATCAATTAAAATTTAATTATTTTGAAAAATTTTAATTGAAATTCAATTATTTTCTAAAATTTCTATTCAAAATTAATTATCCAAATTTTCAATCAAAAATGAACTTATATTAAATTATTATCCAAAATTTCAATTAAAATTCAATTATTTCCCAAAAATTTTCAATTTAAAATCAAATAAAATTTAATTATTCTCAAAAATTTGAATTCAAAATTAATTGAATTTTCAATAATTTGAATTTAAAAGCATCTAAAATTTAATTATTTCTAAAATTTTCCATCGAAAATTTTTTTTTGAAATTTAATAATTTCAATTATAACTCTAAGTAAATTCAATTATTTTTAACTATTTTATTAATATTTTTTGAAATTTCAACTATCTAAAACCATTTTTCAATTAAAAATGATTTTCAAATTATTGTATTTTGTCCGCATTTTCTAATAAATTTTTAGTGAAATCATCTAAAATTTTAATTACAAAACACTTAAAGTTTCAATTAATTTCAAAAATCTCAATTTTAAATCTTTGAAAATTTAATTAAATTTAAAAAATGTATTCCAAAAATTGTTTGATAAATTATTTTTATTTCTGTAAAATTTAATAATTGTTTGAAAATTATCAATATCTTTTGAAATTTCAACTTTAACCCTTCGAAAAGAATTATTATTAAAAAAAAATTTTTTTATTTAAAAATCTGTAAAATATTTTTGTTCAAATAAAAAACAAATGCACTTTTTTTGGAATATAAATCGACTAAAACGACTTTTTTGTGTCTTTAAGTTGATTCGAGGCCTGTGTTTTTATAATTAATATTTAATAGGTATTCGTTGGCCCCTGGTACCTTAAAAATAAAATTTTTTCAAATTACTATCTTGTACGAAATTTCCTGGCGCATCTTTTTTCTCATCATAAATTTTTTATACAATTTTTGAATGAATATACAACTTTAAAAAAAATTTCGTTGGTAAACGAATTTTGAAATTTGGAATTTTAAAGAAACTTATTCCGAAATTTGGAAACACAATTATACAACTTTGGCAAAAATGAGAAAAAGAATTGTCAAAATTTGACACGTCATAAGATTACTATTCAAAAAACACGTGAAATCAGAAAAGACCAACTTCAAGTTAGGACAGAAGGACAGACCAAGCATTTTATTATTATATAATTACACTCGAACACAACTTTTACAATAATTATAATTAATAATTATAAATTATTATTACAATAAAAAATTATATATTCTTTTAATAATATTTCCAGAAAAATTATTAAAACAGTATTTTTAAATGATACATTTTGAATTTTGTTTAGTAAACAAAATTTTATATTCTTGTATAGAATAACATTAAGTCTTTGATGAAAATTTCGTATTCAATCTGTTTTCATAAATATTCTGTGGAATTACGAAATTTATTTCCGAGCCAATTCGGAATCTTTTGTATTTAGTTTCAACAATTCTTTTCGGATCATTTCAAATTCCATTTTCTTTTGAATCTGAATTTTAATCCCAAAATTTCAAAGCAATTCCAAATAAAATTTCAGGATTAAAAATCAGCTTCCAAAAGAAACGTATTGATTCAAAATAATCTGAAATTAAATTTTCGTTGTTACATTACATTTCGAATAAAATTTCTAATAAGAAGAACTGATTGGCTCGGAAAAAAAATTTTGGAATACTTAAAAGAATTAATTTTACTAAATTTATACACAGTTGCACCAAAAAAAAAAAGCAATAAACCAGAATTTTTTTCTAAATGCCTTTAACAATATAATAAATAAAATCAATTTCAAAAAAAAAAAATGGGAGAAAAAAAAATTTTTTGCAATTATTATAAATCAATTATTTGTCGAAAGTGTTTTGGAACAATTTGTTAATTGGAACTAACTATCAGAAAAGCAGAGAATAATATACATGCTAGGGGAATATCGGGGAATATAAATTTATATTTGGAGTAGTTAGATAAATTCATAGTTCCCCTGACAAAGAGAGATAACACATGGAGAGTAAAGCTACTCACCGTTAGAATGGTGTGATTTGACCGATACTCTACTGTACGATTTATTTGCAGACTTTCGCTCGCGTTCGCCCTGCTGCCACAAACTATGAAAAATGGACATGTTTTTTGTTCATAAACTAAATAGCATGGCTGCACAGCTGAGCTTTTACGATTTTATGTCAGTATATTATCTTTCATTCACAGTCGATGAACAATACTTCTTTTTTTTTCTCCATTTTTACAAAATTTCTGGATTATTACTAATTTTTTTTTTCATACAATTTTTAATATATTTCAAAAAAAAAAAAAAACAATTTCACTCAAATTTGCAATTTCTATATTCTCTATTTTCACAAAGAAAGGAATTAATTTTGATTATTTACTCTCTAAATTTAAATCAGAGAAAAAGTGATTCATATACTGACCAATGAAATTTCATTGTAAATTAGTGGATTTACTGAAAAATTACTGATTCAGATTTAGAGAGAATATTATAGTAGAGAGATAATTAAAGAATAACTAACAAACGTGATTGACGAAAACGATGAAAATTATAGAAACATATTTCTCCAATAAATACAATGGCAGAAAATGTAAATCCAAAAATTAAAACATGGATAAGACTATCTTTTAATTTTGTTTCACCACCCGCTTCTGATGGAACAACTTCAAATAAACTCGTTTTATCACTGCCCTCAGCATCTAAAAATTGATTATGCCATTTCTGCAAAATTCCGGCTTCGTTTAATTTCATATAAACATCTTCGAAAGATGCAACATAAGGTGATGCATACTCAAAAAGATATGTATTTAATCGCACATATACAGTTTCCTTTATTGCCTTAATTGTTGCCTTTTTGTATTTTCGTTTTGTATCTCTTATTATCAATACTCCTCGATCACTATTCATAATGCATGTTACATTTTTATTTTCCAACATATCATTAATACACCTTATTTTTGTCATTTTTTTATCATCATTAAATTGGCATTTTACATTTTTCTTTCCTAACATATTAACAATACAATTTTTCATTTTATCATCTCCTTCTGATAATTCTGTAATATTACTATTCAGCATTTCTGTTACATTTGTATCATTTAACAATAATCTGAGACATTTCTGACCAAGAATAGGATCATTACATGTTTTGTTATAAAAAATCCGTGAACTTTCTGAATCAATTATCTTAATATCTTTGATATTATAGAGATTTGGATGGATAAATAATACGAGATTTGATGCATACAAATCTTCAAGACTATCCATTCCACTAGTTGACACGACTGGTAAGCTAACGCTTGTAAAAGTTGAATAAATTTCTGACGAAAAGAAAAAACATGACCACATCATTGCACCAAAAAGTATTCTTTGAGATAAATAATTTGGCTCATGGGGCACACCCATTCCAAGTGCCATTTCTCCAAGATATAAAATTTGCCAATATATTTTATCAAATCGTAATAATTTAGATGAAATCCAAACTAAAGTAAGCAAACTAATGACTATTAGGACATTTAAAATTTTCCAATTATCTGACAATTCCATTGATTTAACGGATTTTGGTACCAATGCGTAATAATAAATTCTTTCATTTGTTTTAGCTAGTTCCATTAAAAGTGCAAAACAACCTACTAATCTAACAGATTGACTGCCAATTAATTGCATTCTGTTGTTCATTATATCAAATACAAAACCTGTATTATTTTCTTTAATGCATTTAACAGTGTCAAAGTAATTTATTGATATACGTTCATCAAGTTGAAAATTCTTAGCATCTGCATATGCTCTCACAGGCAAAACATCAGTTCCATCAATATTTGTCACATTATCTGTTGAATTACGAGTAATATTCACAAAAGGAGGATCATTATAGTATCCAACAATAAAAGGATGTTTATGTACATTTTTCAATTTATCAGGAAATAAATTTAATTTAGAAGTCATTTTCTGTTTATGTAATTTCTTTGTAAATGGATTATAAAACAATAGTCGTGTAATTGTAATCTCATTGACATATGTAAAGAAATCAATTTTACTTCGTTTATTTTCTAACTCGAGAATACTAACATCGAGAAATTGTTTCGACCACATGAATGTAAGCAATTCTTTATTGATTAAATTTTTTTCTATTTTCTTTGCAATTAATACTTTTGGTCGTCTTTTTGATGCAGTATGTTGAGTTATAAAATTTATTATTTGTGACATTAATGCCAATTGATTAGGAATTAATGATAGACAAGTGACAATGAATAATGTTGATTGAGGATCCCTTAAAAATGTATTACTTTCACGTGAAAGAAGATGATTTTCCGTTAAATTTCGAATATCAACAACAATCATTGGAGTATTGTGTAAATTTACAAATTCATCATTTCTACTATCATTTACAATTAATAATGTTTGCCAAATTCGTGGATTACTTTCGAGATAATTTCTTACGACATTGTGAAATGAATTCCAATTTTTTGAATAGGATTTTCCTTGAAAGCAAATCAAAATCAGGAGAATTAATTGATAATTGCGGAATAGTAAATTCATTTTTATCTAAAACAAAAATAATTTAATTATTGCAATAGCTGTCTGTGTTATGATTTTTATATTTGTATTTTTTACTTACATTTTTCTGCAACGGGAAAATAAAAATTTTTTTAAATAATTTTTTGTACGCTCTGTTCAACTTGCAAACTTCTTGTGAATTTAATTCTTTAAAGTTCTTTTTTGAAATGCTCGTGACATTTACATGTAATTTACAAAGTGAATGTAAATAATTTAAGGATCAGTTGATCTATCTTCTGATAAGTGAAAAATAAATTTTATTCTGACAACAATTTTATTTGTTATTTAAAAAAACAAATAATTTTCTTGTTTCAAGGTTTTTTTTTTATATTTCAAATTCAATTTGTTGCTTAGAAACGTTTAAAAAGCATAATTAAAATTTCATGCAAAAAAAATCGTTTAGTTTGACGTAAACTTTAGCTTAATTTTTTTTTTATATTTTAGGCTGTAAGAATATTATATTATCGTTTATTATTATTATTTTAATTATTTATTATTAATTAATTATTATTATAAAAAAATATTAATTATTAATTTATTATTATTATTATTATTATTATATTTTCATTACCTGAAAGTTGACTTTTTTTGTTCAATGTTTACGCATACATATTTTTGATTCACCGTAAAATTTATTCATTACAAATTTCAATTTCAATAAAGGTATGACAAATTAATGACATTCTTTCAATCAGGTGTCGTTACCGAAATTAATTTGGAGGTTATATATCCACGTTCAAAACAAAGCGAAATTTTTTTTCCAGTAGTTGGCAATTCCGCAAAACATTCGCGTAACTTACGTGTACCTTTCGCGAACAACGCTGAAAATTCTTATTGTGGATACAGCCTTATACACTGAAATGTTTTTCTAATTGTTTAACACAAAAATTAGTTAAATTTTGTCGTTGTAAGCAATATAATAAATTTTTTACGATTTTCTTTCTCATCCCCAGTACTTGAGTCAAGTAGCGCCACAGTAATTTATAGACGGTGTAATCCTGTCAGATTCGAGGATTTATAGTCGTCCACCGAATAAATTGCGGTACGACCGATTATTGGGATTTTTTTTTTTTTTTCTAGCTTCCTAGAATAAATTCTCCAACCCCGACAAGTCGTTCTGACGGAATCCGACAAATCATTTACCTACGTTTGCAACGATTTCATCAAGATGCGTTTGGTCATTTCAAAAGAAAATTATATTTTCAATGACTCTCAACTTTTTCTCATTTTTATTAAAAATTTTTTTTTGAAATTATTTTCTCAAGAAAAAAAAATATTTCTCTCCATTTAATTTATCAAGAGGGTATTAATATAGTCGTCCAGTTTGAAAAAAGAAAATTTTTGCACATTGCATAACCAACAAGCCTTGGTATTTTCACTTTCCCCATTCATAAATTCGTATTCCTTCTTTTCATTTCTCAAGGAAAAATTAAATGCAATACAAGCTTGGTTGGCAATTTACTTGTCATGGCAAATAAGTTTCTTAAAAGAAAATGTAATCTTGTCTACATTTATCGTCGTAAATGTTTTGCCTCCGGGATGGGTGGGCAAAAGAAGGTAATGCACTTTAATTATTTTCTCTTCAATTCTAAAAGTAGTGCAATTAAATTTAATTTCCAATGTTGAGGAAAAACGTTTGAAAACAATAAGTCCTGTGTAAAAAAAAAAGTAATTAAAATATTTTTCATAATTGGGTATTAGAAATAAAAAAAAAAATTTAATAAAAAATAAAATGTAGATCGAAATTTACACACTACAATTTAAGGCAAAAATTTTTTTTTTTTTGTCAAAGAAATGAAATAAATTTTTTCCAAATAATTTTGTTTGTAAAATCACTAGAAATTAATTACTATAATATTAAAAGTGTCATTTGTGTGAATTTTACCGATACTGGAAAGTAGTTTTTTTCATTTAATTCATTTCAAGTAATTTAAGCTATAAATCCTTAATCGTGCAATCTGATTGAGAGCTTTAGAGTTAATTTTGAAAATCTACTTAAACTGGATGTAAAGAAAGTAGTCTTAAAAAAAAAAAATTGTAAATAGATTAAAAAAAGTACTAAAAATTGGAGGAAAAATTAAATCTAACAATAATAATTTAACAAAATTCTTCATTAAAAAAAAAGAAAAATTTTTGTTCAAAACAACCAAATTTTATTTTAAAACAACGAAATTTTGTTTCAAAATTTTAATACAAAAAAAATTGTATATTTGGTTCAAACAAAAAATTTTCTGTACAATTTAAAGGAAAACGATCCCAACAATAATTTAATTAAATTTGTAATTAATTAAATGTAGGGAAATAATTCTTGTTATTTAAATTACCAACGACAAAGTATAAAGTGCAATCTTAGAATGAGAAAAATAAGTTTTCTTTCATAAAGTCATAGTTTTTTTTTTTTTTTTTAATGTAAATCGTATTCTTTTGAAATTTAATTATTAGCATGTTTGATATAGAGGTTTGCATATGTATGCACTGTACTTAGATGAAGACTCGAAAACCGTGAGGCGATTTAGCTCGTCTTCAGAAAGTATAATTCACCTACTCGACCATACATTCGCGCCACCTCGTCGAGTTGGTCATGAATATGCTAATTCGTTGAGCACAATGCTAATATCTTCTGCTAATTCTCTCATCTTCAACGCAAAAATTTGGACAATATAAAAAAAAAGAAGAAATTTTTCTACTCTACAACTATATATATATATACTTTAAAATCAATAATACATTTTTCTTTTCTTTCAATATTCTTATATTTCTTTTTCAATATTCTTAAATATTCCCTTTTTTTATTAATATTCTTAAATATTTATTTTCTTTTTCAAAAAAAAAAAAAAAAAAAAAAACACTGGAAAATTTAAATAATATTTTATAAACGTTTTTCATAAAAAAAAAATTGATTCAAAATTCCTTAAAATTATTTCATTTTAAAAATACAACGTAGATGGAACATTTTTTTTTTTTTTTTCAATGACGCTTTCATTTTAATTAACAAAGCGACAAAGTAATATCGAAATTACTCTTGCTACTTCATTTTATTAAACTGTACATAAAATTTTTTAGATTGTTTGCATACTTGATAACGAAAAATAAACTCAACATATATTTTTGATAAATTAGACTTTTTAAGAAATGAGTTCACAACTAACAATTTTTATTCTCATTGTTCATGAAAAATTTTACACATTAATATAGAAGTGAAAATTTATATTTTTTTCTATTTTTTCCTTTTTCCTACATCAAACTAAACGATTTTTTTTTGTTTTTTAAACATTGCTAAGCAACAAATTGAATTTGAAATATAAAACAAAGACCTTGAAATAAGTAAATTATTTCTTTTAAAAAGGGTCAGAATTTCTCAAACGGATCACCTAAAATTCAGAAATTTTTTTTTAGTCTCATTTTTTTTTCAACGGTTTCTTACACAAAATTGTGTGGGGAATTAAAAAAAAAATTTAATTTTCTGTAGGACGTCAAGAACACTATTTTTTAATAACATTTTATAAATAAATAATATAAAAATCTATTAAATATGAAATTTTTTCAAAATAAAAATTATATTTAGAAACTACATTTTAAGACGAGAAAAACCCTTTTTTTTAATTGGAGAACAGGAACTCGAGAAAAAATTTTTTTAAAATAAGACTGCAAAAAATTTCAATTGTTTATAACTTAAACAAAAAATTTTTTTTTGACCTAAAAATTTCAGGGACTTATTTTTACCATGTAAGGAGTCAAAAGAAATGATTTTTGATTAAAAAAAAAAATTCTGAATTTCAGGTGATCCGTTTGAGAAATTCTGACCCAATAACAATAAATTTATTGTCAGTATAAAATTTATTTTAAAAAAATTAAAAATTTATTTATTAAATTTTTGAAAAATTCCAAATCAGTAAAAGCTGTCTAAATAATATTAATGATTTTTTAGAGTCGTTTTTTTCGAAATAAGAAAACAAAAAGATTTACATTTTCCAAGCTATAAAAGAAGGAAAGTTTTTTTTTTTTGTAAATTGGTATCGTACTCCAAGGAAATATGTAAATATTTGTTAACAAGATCGCCTGCAATAGAACGTATTGCGATAGACACGATTCTCATTCATGGAATTCCGAAAAGCGAAAAGGAGTTCCAATAACGCTCTCGACATTTTGCCTGCTCTTTAAACACAATGTTAATAGCCTGGAAAAATATTTTGAAATTATTAAAAAAATTGTTACATATAAAGTAATTGACTTTCGTTAAATTATTTCTTCAATTATAAATTTGTTTTCAATATTTGATTAAGATTAAAATTTAAATTAAGATTAAAATACACAGTTTTCTTAAAAGTATCAAATTGAGACCAAAAATAGCATCAAATCTTTGCAACGTTTTGATGCACATAAGTTGTATCAAAAAGAGATCGTTTTGTGTATCATTTTTAGAAATGATACACGAAACGGTCTCATTTTTTGATGCAAAAATTTTAATCAACTTATATCAATCATGGCCGAATTGAATCGACTCAAAATTAAACGAATTTTTTTTAGATATTTTGGTAATAGTACAATTGCGGAGACCATTTCACTATTTAATTTGAAAATGAAAAAAAAGAAAATCAAATACAATGTGCAATTCGATAATTAAATAGTGACAGCTTATAAACATAACCTAAAATGCATGAAAAAAAATTTATCGATAAAATCAATATAGCCGAGCTTTTTAGAAGGTAGATGGCAGCACTCATCTTTTTTTTTTCTTTAAATTTTTTCTGAATCGTTTTTTTATAAAAAGCAAAACTCTTATACTTGCATCAAAACGTTGCAATAGAAAAAGATACAACCAAGTTTACTGTGATACTAACGAACATTCCCTGAGTGTAATTCTCTGAAAAATAGTCAATTGCCACAGTTTTAAAAGAATTTATATTTTAGCGAAACAGAACCCTAATGGTATTGATTGAAAAAAAAACTCTTTTTTTCTTCTCTTCTCAACATTGAAAACGCAAAGAATGCCGCGAATGAATGCCTTTCACCAAGACACTTTAAGAATTTTAACGATGCTCTTTGGCAAAAGATAAGGTACTGCTTGGTGTAAATAAAGTCAAGTATGTATAGGATCATCCCTACGGAAGCACGATTCTTCTCAGCTTTTCTTTTCCCTCTTTTCTTTTCTTCACTTAACCAAGAGAAACTTATTCGCAACAGTGGAAGAAAAATTTATCGAAAAAATTCTTTTAATATTATTTTTATTAATTATTTTCACATTAAATAAGAATATTTGACAAATTTTGTAGAATTAATTTAAAAAAAAAATGATTTAGAAATAATTAAATTTACTTATATTATTTGATTTTAGAAAGCTACTTTCTCATAATTCTATCTCAATGTATATGAAAAGCGTTTGAGATTTAATCAATTCACTAAAACTTCTGCTCCATCATGCAAATTTCAGTTTCAAATTTCATGAAATTAATCCTGCACTTTGATCCCGAATATGTATTACTTAATGCAAGGTGCATTCAATGCCCACGTTTATGTTCCGGATACGTGTGCAGCATAAAGTATACAAAACACTATCACTGAATTTATATTTGACGTCGTACAATCTCGTCTTTGTAGCATGGCTACGTGAAAGGTAAGAGAATTAAGCTCGATTATATTTTCTTGGTTTGCCATGCCACCTTCTTTGCCTTGAATCAGGCGTGAATT